CAATCATATGAAATTAGTATTAATAAAAAACTTATTTGTACTACAGAGGTGGCACAGAACACAAAAGTAGCTTGTAGGTACATTTTCAGACGTTTAATGAGGCTCAGAGGTGGCATGAGTGCAATTAAATTCATAAATTCATGTGGAGATTAATGATCTAAATATTTAATATTTCTCTATTCAAAATTTTATGATTTAAATAACTGAAATTATATGCTAAAAATGAAACTAAATCCGCCAGCAGGTGGCGGCAAGTCACTAATTTTATCACTGAATCATTCATTTAGTCGATTTGTTCGAACGGCTGATTCATTCAGGAATGAAGCAAGTGACTGTCTTTATGAATGGGTAATCATGAATCACTGACTCACTAGATCAAAAATGCACTTTCATTCATTAATGAATGAAACACCGCTGTGTTTGCTTTTAGAGATGCGCAGCAGCTGAGCTGTTACTATATTTGAAACAATTTTCGTTGAAGAAATAGAGCAAAATCAGGCAGTACTTGTTTATTGAACTGTTGTATTAAATCAATATTACATTTGTAAACTCCCTTAATAACTATTAAAAATTGCCACTCTCCTTATCGCGATCTGTGGGCGCACAGAAAATGAGAGCGCGCGAGTGAGTCGAAAGCACGTGCAAATGATACATTCCGTCATCTGTCATCGTGTTAGAAGCGCGGAACCTGCGGGAATGAGTAGAATTGTTATTAATAGTCCCGTGTCGAAATTCAAGTTCTGCTCTGTGTTCTCTGCTAATAACCCGACTGTGAATGATGCGAGCGGCGTCACTATGTTGTCACTGAGAAGCTGCAGGCGTGGCGGGGATGATTTTTGGTGTGCCGGCAGAACAACAACGCGCTACATGTTTCTTTTCCCCTCATTTTTTCCAATTGACGGAAATCCGTGGTTGACTCGCTGCAATTAACGGAAATCCGTCGTAGCGACGGAGAACTTAAATCCCTGCTATTTTATTATGAATCATATTTTATTTAGAGGTGAATATTCCTTAATACCATGAAATCTTCTCAAATACAAAAGATTAAAGGAAAAAAATATATTTACCTAAAACCTACAATTACTAGGGCTGTGCAATTAATCGCATGCGATTGTCATGCGCATCTCGTCAGTAAAGTCGGATTAGTAGTAAATCTCAATCACCTGCTTTCAGATTGAGTGGCATTCACTAACACAGCCGTAGTTCACTGACAATTATGCAATATCGCGTTCATAATTGCAGATGAATTGCATTTGATTATGAACGCGATATCGCCTAGCTTGTCAGTGAACTACAGCTTGGCGATTTACTACTAATCACGGAACCGGCTTTACTGACAAGATGCGCATTCACAATCGGATGCGATTAATTGCACAGCCCTAACAAAACAGTACATAATCCAATTAAAAGATTAAAAAGTTACTCTCTAGGTGTTCTATCACTTTTGATCACGTGTGAGTGTGACCCCTAAATAAGGAGCACCAGAGGGTTGAAAATAGGTCGCAAAGAAACAATACATTGAGAGTTATGTATAAAATGTGGATTTAAGATCCACAGGTAAATATCAAATAACTTGTTTGGTTAACGTCTTCAGTCAGGATAGGTAGTTAAGATTAGCTAAATAAATACTATATTTAACTGCTACATAGTCAACAGCTCTAAGACAACAGACAAAACAAAACAAAAATAGACTTAACGTGATATAGAATCTATCTTGATTAACGTTCAAAAGCCAGCTTTTATTCAATAATCCAATACTGGACTTAAATCAACACTCTTGAAAATGGGAAAATGTATTTCAGATAATTGTGATGTTTGTAATGTCACCAAAAACATATCGAGTATGACATAATGTGGTGTAAAAATATATAATCCAGAGAGGAATATATTGCGACATAAAATGTATGAGCTGGAGAGAGAATGGAGTTTGCAAGGGACTCTGGGGATGTGTGAGAGAACGAGGGAAAGTAGTAATTGGGCTCTATTTACGTTTCTTAAAGATACCCCTGTTGAAAAAACCAGCATATGCTGGTTAGGTATGTTTTGACGCTGGGATGCTGGTTTAAACTGGTCCTTTGCTGGTTTATGCTGGTCCTTTGCTGGTTTAAGCTGGTCCTTTGCTGGTTTAAGCTGGTCCTTTGCTGGTTTATGCTGGTCCTTTGCTGCTCCGTTGCTGGTTTAAGCTGGTCCTTTGGCTGGTTTATGCTGGTCCTTTTGCTGGTTTACGCTGGTCCTTTTGCTGGTTTATGCTGGTCATGTGCTGGCAAAGGACCAGCATAAACCAGCAAATTAATTATTTTAGATCCACTGTAGATATTTAGCTGACCTCTCAGGGTCAACTGTCTGTCAATTCTAAGAACGTTAATTTCCTGGTTAAGGAAAATAACTTCCTTACTGTACAATTCTACAAAAGCTTGTAGCATAAATCTGCATGATTAAGTGACTCCAGTTATGAGCAAACAATGAACCACATCAAGTGTGATACAAGTAAGGTTTTATTAACTACATAAACACTTAAACTAGTCTAACATAATACATAAACACATAAACTGGTCTAACATAAACATTCACACCCACACGCACACACACACACACACACAGTTTGTATAGGAAAGGGTTAAAAGCTTAACGCAGTAAAGAGAAGAGAAATGGAAAATATGAAGTTATAGAACCATTTGCATATTCAGCAGATCTACCCGAGGGAAACATCAGATTCTTAGTTCAAACACACCTTTGTAAAAAGGTGCAAATGATACCAAATGTATTAATTAATAAGACTAGAGTTTTGAGAATCAAAAGAACCAGTTTTGAGTCAGAGGATCTTGATGAATGGAAAGGTCGAGGCCGAAGCCTGGCACGTAACTTAGGATGTTCTGGAGCGTTGGAGCTCACATCTTATTGAACTCTAGCAGAACCACCGACTGTAGGAGGGTCCCTGGTGTGGGCCTTTAAGGTCGGAGAAGAGTCACTCCTCTCAAGGTGGGCTTGTCCAATGAGAGAGGAAAAAATTCCAAGCGGGAGGTTGCAATTGCTGGAGGGTTTTACGACCCTTTGTTTGAGGGCATGGTAATTTGCAAATGTAGCTTGGATCAAAATTACTAAAGACTCTTAGAACATTAATATGTTGCGTAGGTGTAAACATACAATATACACTCTCAATTAGATCATCCGAATACTAATGAATAGAGACCAAACACGTTATATGTAAGGTTACATGGATGAGTGGTTCTATCCTAAACATGCCTAGAATAGTCTACAATAAAACAGATAATATACAAAACAGCAATAATATACCCAAGGACCTGAAGGCTATGTGTGTTCGCCCAGGATCAGGAAACAGTCCTCCGTAAAATGTGCTGCACACATCTGAATATTTGGGTTGAAGTGTTCTGGAACAGTGTTGTAAATACAACTTAACCACTGATTTCTAGTCGTGTCCATTTTTGGAAGACCAAACAAAGTAGTTTCGCCTTCACAACGAAACACAGCGTCACACATGGCGGCCTACAGTGAGCGGCGGCGGCCTAGAGTGAGCAGAGGCGGCGGGCTTGAGAACGGCATGGCCGGCAGATTCGACGAAGGAGGCTTGCGGCACCCCCATGTGACGACCCCGGGCTGGACTCCGTTTCGTCCACGGTGAAAGCCAATCCGGTGATACACAGCACAAAGTTGTTGTATTTCCTCAGCAACCAGCACGGATCAGCTCCAGGCATGACGAAGCGGATATCGTCCTCTTTTGGAAGGCCAAACAAAGTAGTTCCGCTTTTACAACGAAAAACACAGTGCCTTCACGACATGGCGGCAGCAACAATACTACAGCGAGAATAAAAGTTAAGCCTTCTTTCCTTGCGTGAACATTTGGGCGGCGTTATGCAAATCTTCCCAGATAGTGACGTAGGTATGTGACGTATATTATGTTAGAACGAGCCGTTTTAGGTAGGCGTGGCTGACTCTTAACTTTTATAAAGAATATTTCTTTGGATTTGAGACTTTAGTCTTTGCAACTTTACAGATCTTCTTTATGCACCAAGAGCTTGTAACACTCCAAAGAGAAAGGAACAATTGAAATCGCATCATATGACCCCTTTAAACATTTTGACAGTGTAAACAGTGCTTTTTTTTCTCCACCTTTAGGATTCTTTGTGAAATAGACCCAAACCTTTGTAGGACACTGTAGTGTTGGGCCTACACTACTGTTCAAAAGTTTGGGGTCCGTGAGATTCTTTTGTTTTGAAATAAATTCATTTTTTATTCAGCATTAAGTTAAATAAAATTGGTCAAATTGCGAGTAAATATTTCTCAAATATTTCCAAATAAATGCTTTACCTCTTTTTTTTTATTTTTACTTTGTGTTCATCAGAGAATCCTGAAAAAAAAGATGATATATTTAATATAAATTTTAATATATTTTAGGAGCAAATCAGCATATTGGAATGATTTCTGAAGGATCATCTGACACTGAAGACTGAAGTAATGTCACTTTTACTTTGATCACAGGAATATTTTACTTAATTAAATATATTAAAATAAAACTAATAATTTCACAATGTTACTGTTTTTCTGTTTTTATCTTGCCTGTGTTCCCCTGTCTTGTGTTTAGGACTCTTGTTTTGTAATGTTTTCTATTCCTAATTGTTTCAGTGTTCACATTCTTTTGCTCAGTTCTTTTTACATCTTCCAATTCTCCTACTGTAAAAGGAGAGCCACTGGATACCAGCGCATCGTCCATAAAGTCAGCAAACTAAACATACTCTCTCCTCCTGGAAGCCATGACTTTATTGGCTTATTTAGCCTATAGCGAAAGAAGTCTTTCAAAGTTATATTGTCTATAGGATCTTGATAAGACAACTCTGTAAACCTGCGGATGTACTCCTCGATCGAGAGTTCATTCTGCTGAAGGTACAGGAACTGGTTGAGCGGGTTCACGACTGGTCTGGCTCTCGTTCGTCTGCTGGATCTGTGAAAGCATTCTGTTATGAACTCGGAGGCTTAGACGGTGGATCCAAATGCAGTGTTTATTGAGAGAAATCCACAGGAGCAGTCAAAAACACATGGTGGTCAGAGTCCAGTAAACAGGTAAAAAGAAATACAAGCGATTAATAATGCAGAGGTAACGCAAACAAGATTTGACAACAATAGAAGTGAATGAGTACCTTACATGATACAAACGAAACAAGCAAATGACAGGCAGAAGTGATCAAACCATAATGACTCCAGGCAATGGTTTCTGGGAAATGTAGTTCATCATGAAGGAGCTAAAAAGTTGGAAAGAGTGTCCTCTAATGGAAATCACAGGACACTCCAGCTGGTAGGTTATATAAAAGGAAATAAAGACAAAAGCAAACAATTCAGTCTGACTACAAAGTCAGTTAAGTTAAACATAACTTTGTGCTCAGCCAAAACGATATGACCAGGAATAAATAATAGATTCATGAGACCACGAATGCCTGTTAAATATAGCCTACCCAAACCGAATTGTATCGTGTTTAATCACTACAGAGACAGCTCGATGATCGCCTGGAGCTCCGAAATTGGCATAGCAAATTTTCAAATAAGTGCTATCTTTATAAATAAACCACAGATTTGAGTTTTAAACAATTACATTCTTGCCTGAAAAACTCTTAAAACTACATTTCATGACACAATAACAGTAATATTTAGAAAATTACGCGGGTATTTGGGCAATGACGTTTCACAAGTCCACAAGAACAGACAAGAACGCATATTGAGAAGTGGCTGTTGTCTGTGTGAAAATATACAATTATAAATTACACAGTTAAATTTTTTTGTGTTTGCGCACTCTGATGTAAATAAGCCCAACACATATGGACAGCAAAGTGGGACGAGTGAAGGACGCTTTATCCCCTTGTATCACGCAAAAGTGACGATTCTAGTCAACCAATCAACGTTCTGCAGTGAGCTTAGCTCAACCCTTTTGGTACCCTTTGCTGTGCTAGGTACCCCAACGGAAGGGGACCAAAAAAGTGGTACGGTATGGTTCGCTATTTTGGTACCATTCACAACTTCTGACAGTGGAAACGGAAATAATTGCGTAACGTACTGTACTGTACCGAACTGTACCGCTTAGTGGAAACGAGCCATTAAAAACGTTATTTAGGCCCAGATAGCACACGTACATCATGGAGACGTCTATTTGACATCTGCATTTACATCTGGAAGACAATTTTTTAGAGTGTTTGCTCATCTGCAATACGTCTATAGGATGTTTAATTTTAGATGTCAAATAGACATCTATTAGATGTCTATAAGATGTTTATGATTTAGAATGTATGTAAAACTGACATCTTATAGACGTCTGTCAGATGTTTGTACACAGCAGATGCTTTCCAGATCAAGAGATCTTTAACAGACATCTTGCAGATATACGTGTGCTATCTGGGGGCTAATTGGTTTTGACCAGAGCTGTCCAAAATCGGTCCTGGAGGGCCGGTGTCCTGCAGAGTTGAGCTCCAACCCTAATTGAAAACACCTGAACCAGCTAATCAAGCTCTTACTAGGCATAGACTAACTTCCAGTCAGGTGTGTTGAGGCAAGTTGGAGCTAAACTCTGCAGGACACCGGCCCTCCAGGACCAAGTTTGGACAGCCCTGGTCTAGATATTACAGATGCTGTTTATTAGAATTCTTTATTTATTTGTTTGTTTATGTTTGCAATTGTAGGGTTGAAAATCACAGGAGAATGAGTCTCTATGAGAAAAGAGAGGAGGAGGATGTTGATCACTACCAAAACCAGGAAGCAGCGGAGGACGGATGTGTGTCTGTGAAGAGTGATAGATCCATGGAAAACCCTCTTAACTGTAGGGAGGGTAGGGATGGAACTGTGGCCTTTAACCCCAGGTAATAACCAGTACTGGATACTAGAGACTAGAGACAGAATTATAACTTTAAATCACATGATCTCTCTTTATCACTGATGTTTATGATGTTTTCTTAGTATCAGACAGCATTGTGTCCAGTATCCAGCTGTGTGTCTTTAAAGAGTGACAGTAACTCAAGTTTTTTGAATCCTTTCACCTTTTCATCAATGCTAATTTAGATTTGTCCAGTGACTGTTCAAAAAAGACAAAATAACCTAAAAGAGTTTTAACAACGTCATTGTTGTCATCAGTCACATTTACATATTTATAATTCATCCATTATTTTGAACAAGATTGTTTCACATGCTGAATTCACAAAAGAGACACCTGATTAATTTCTTTTATTCACAAATTGGATGTAAGCCGTGTCCAAAATCAATCCCTAACACTTGATTCCAAATGTTTGATCAAATTCATTTACTGAGATTTATATGCATCACCAGAGCAAATGATCATTTGCTTGATGATCTGAATGTAAAGTTTAACACGTCTTTCTAATCAACCAGTATCAGTGATGACTTTAGTACACTTTTATGGTTGAGTATTCGTCCTTTGCACACATAAAACAAGCACTGCAAATGAACAAAACACCCTAAATTATACATATAATTCATATTTAATCATATTTACTGATTTGTAGATTGCCTTTATTAGATTACAAACATTAGCAATTGTTCTGTAAAAGGCGTTATGCATATTGAGCTGTTGTTGCACACTAGCATGTGGTGTTTAGAACCTTTCCAAATAGAGCTCACTGGCTGTAGAATGATTTATCACTTAAAGCGTTTATAGTAGAAACCACTAGCTCTCACCTGAATATGAATTAGTTTCATCCATCATTGCCATCACCTGTATGTCCACTAAAGGATTAGAAAACTTATTAGAAAAACAAAACATCAGGGTGAGTAAATAATGACTGAATTTTCATTTTTGGATGAACCGTCCCTTTTGCATCTTCTTCCTAAATTGTGTTTCGGACTTGATGTCAAGGGTAAATTGTGGAACATCAATTTATAAATACACAATGCTTGAAACAAACATCGAGAGACATTTTTAAGTGTCATATGAATAATTAAGCTCATTCTGGCTAATCTAGGCCAGTTTCTGCATAAAATAATTTATCAATATTCTGTTTATTGTGTCTCAGCTGGTTGTGAGAATGGCACACGTGGCTTGCTCTCACCGGAATATGAATTAGTTTCATCCATCATTGCCATCACCTGTATGTCCACTAAAGGATTAGAAAACTTATTAGAAAACCAAAACATCAGGGTGAGTAAATAATGACTGAATTTTCATTTTTGGATGAACCGTCCCTTTTGCATCTTCTTCCTAAATTGTGTTTCGGACTTGATGTCAAGGGTAAATTGTGGAACATCAATTTATAAATACACAATGCTTGAAACAAACATCGAGAGACATTTTTAAGTGTCATATGAATAATTAAGCTCATTCTGGCTAATCTAGGCCAGTTTCTGCATAAAATAATTTATCAATATTCTGTTTATTGTGTCTCAGCTGGTTGTGAGAATGGCACACGTGACTCTACTACAAGATCTTGCTGCTCATACTCATTCATTATTTGTGTTGTTCTTGTTTCTGCTGTGTGGATAGAGATGATCAGACTGGAGTCCTGCAGCAGGATTCTGTCCAAAAAGCAGATGATGGACTATGGAGAGCCAAAGACCAACACAAAATCAGCATGAAGAACAAATATGAGAGCTTATTTGAGAGGAACAGAATCTACACACAACTCCGTATCATACATGGAGAGAGTGAAGAAGTGAATGAAGAACATGAGGTGTTGCACATGGAGAAAACGTTAAGATTACAAGACACTCAAATCAACTGCAATAACATCTTTAAAGACCTACCTGGACCAGGACGTGAGAAGGAAGGCAAAATAAAGGCAGTTCTTACCAAAGGCATGGCTGGAATTGGAAAAACGGTCTCTGTGCAGAAGTTCCTTCTGGACTGGGCTGAGGGAAAAGCCAATCAGGATGTAGATTTCATGTTTGTTCTTCCATTTCGAGAGCTGAACCTGATTCGAGATCATCAGTACAATCTTCACAGACTTCTGCTTGACTTTCACCCTGAACTTCAAGATCTGAACTCAAAGATCTATGAGGAGTGTAATGTTGTGTTCATCTTTGATGGTCTGGATGAAAGCAGAATTACGCTGACGTTTTCAGACAGTGAGAACGTTTCAGATGTTACTGAGACCTCCTCAGTGGGCATGTTGATGTCAAACCTCATGAAAGGAGATCTGCTTCCCTCTGCTCTCATCTGGATCACCTCCAGACCAGCAGCAACCAGTCAGATCCCCTCCAAATACATCAACCGTGTGACAGAGATTCAGGGATTCAATGATCCTCAGAAGGAGGAATATTTCCGGAAGAGAATTGGTGACGAGCAACAAGCCGGCAGAATCATTTCACATATTAAAAAAGCAAAAAGCCTCCACATCATGTGCCACATACCCGTCTTCTGCTGGATCTCAGCCACTGTGCTACAGCAGCTCTTAAAAGAAGATCTCAGTTCAGAAGTCCCTCAAACTCTGACTGAAATGTACATCCACTTCTTGCTCACTCAGATAAACATTGGAAATCAAGAATACAAAGAGAGAGATCCAGAGAAAGTCCTGCAGTCCAACAGAGAAGTGATCGTTAAACTTGCTGAACTGGCTTTCAAACAGCTGATGAAGGGCAATGTGATGTTCTATGAGGAGGACCTGATTGAGAGCGGCCTAGACGTCACTGACGCCTCGGTGTATTCTGGGATTTGCACTGAGATCTTTGAGGAATCTGTGATTCATCAGAGGAAAGTCTACAGCTTCATCCATCTGAGCTTTCAGGAGTTTCTAGCCGCTTTGTATGTATCTTACTCCCATGTGATGAAGAACATGGAACCATTGCAGTTGTTTCTGGATGATAAACATGAGAGGGACAGACCTAAGAGAAACAGGTACAGATTTAAGAAAATCTCTTTGTTTCAGCTACTAAAATCAGCAGTTGATAAAACTCATCAGATTGAAAATGGGCACCTGGATCTTTTTCTGCGGTTCTTGCTGGGCATCTCACTAGACTCCAATCAGGAACTCTTAAAGGATCTTCTGCCACAAGCAGAGAACAACTCAAAGAACATCAAAGGATTCATGCGGTACATTCAAGAGGAAATCAAGAGAAATGACAATCTTTCAGCCAACATATCCATCAATCTGTTCCTCTGTTTGCTGGAAATGAATGATCAGACTCTGTATCAAGAGATTCAGGAGTTTGTGAAATCAGACAAACACTCCGATATGTATCTCTCTGTTGCTCACTGCTCAGTGATAGCCTATGTGCTTCAGACGTCAGAGGAGGTGCTGGATGAGTTTGACCCTATGGAATACAAAACAACAGAGGAGGGTAGATGGAGACTGATACCAGCTGTGATGAACTGCAGAAAAGCTCTGTGAGTATTCATTTGTAGAGTATTCATAGCCAGTAAGGTAATTTTTAAGTTTAGGTATAGGGTGGATTAGGGTTGTAGAATATGGTCATGCAGAATAAGGCATTAATATGTGCTTTACAAGTACTAATAAACAACCAATAAATCAATCATATGCTTGCTAATTAATAGTGGGAATTGGTTCCTAAACTAAAGTGTTACCCATATTAGTCTCTAGCTCAAACTAATGCATCAAGCAAATCATAACTCTGTTCTTAATTTAGTTATATACAGAAAACCAGTGGAAAGCATGCTGGACAGTAGACCGTAGAAGCACAGCTGTGTGATAAGGTGTTTAAAACCAAATTGGCAAGTGCTAATTTCACATCCTGACTTTATAATTCAATTTCAGCTAAACTCAAGTTCTTTTCAGAGTTTTACGTTCTTTTATGCACTGAATACAGGAAACATGACTTTAAACATTCATCTTCTCCTCATTGTCTTTTTGTATTATAGACTTGCTAGATTGCGTCTTTCTGTTCAGCAGTGTGACAGATTGTCTTTAACTCTACGATCATCAAACTCTTGCCTGGAACAGCTGGACCTGAGTAACAATAACCTGCAGGACTCATCAGTGAAGCTGCTTTCTACTGGACTGAAGAGTTCGCACTGTCACCTGAACATACTGAGGTTTGACTTCCACATGAGCTACTTTTATTCATGAAACCCAGTGATTTGCCATATTGGCGTGGCATGATGTCTCAGTGGGTAGCACTGTTGCCTCATAGCCAGAAGGTCCCAGATTCAAGTCTTGGAGGCATTTCTGTGTGGAGCTTGCATTTTCTCAATGGCATGTTGCTGTTAGCTTTCCTCATATGAGTGTAAATACATATATATCTGTGTTATGCTGCGTTCAAGTCCTCCTGGGACGTTCGTACTTACGAGTTGACAAGTCGTAATTACGACGTCAGGTGCGTTCAAGTCAGTTTATTTGGCACAAGATGGCGGTGTACCTTCTTTTAATAAATTACAAGAAAATACAACAGGGTCTGCATTTTTTTACTTGGATTTCAGCTGCGTAACAAGAACATGACCAATTTAAGTTTTTAGGACAACTAAACTATCAATTTAAACAAAAATTTACCGTCAACTACAGACGTTGCATCCATCGATTCCGCCATGTTTCTCATTGACACGCCCCCAACTCGGAAACTCAGGGCTTAAAGAAAATTTCGAGTTTCCCACTCATAATAACGAATTTGTGGTGGCATTCATGTGCATTCAACTCGTAAATACGATCTATCCGACATGACTTGAATGCACCATTAGCCTTTTGTTGGACTGACCCCCTGTCCACGGTGTTTCCCTGCCTATGGTCCAAGATGCTGGCAGATAGCATTTCACCTGCCTGATTAAAACGTTCTGCTGACCTTTAACAGATCACTGGAGAAGTGTGAAGATCCCTCTTGCTTCAAACACTCCATCTCCATCCCAAAGAAATTTAAAATCACAGGACTTAATGGAGGGTGCCAAACTCAGCTCCTGAAGGGCCACAGTTCTGCAGTTTGGTTCCAACACACATACCCGTAGTTTTCAAATAATCCTGAAGAACATGATTAGTTCTTCCAAGAACTGAGTTTGGCATCCCTCACTTAAAGAGATACTCCACCCAAAAATGAAAATTCATATCATTTACTCACCCTCATGCCGTCCCAGATGTATATGACTTTCTTTCTATAAATGAACAACCTCTGGGACGTATCACCTCTATTTTCTGTGCTTGTTGCTCTTTCCTTTCGTGAATCTGCTTGTTAACTGCAGGTGTTCATAGGGCTACACAGTTTTAGGGGAAAAATCTAATTGCAATTTTCCTGGTTTTAAAAGAAGGCCCAAAATGTTGTGCCTATATATTAATATGACTAATAGTAATTAGTATGATCATTTATAATTGTTAAAGAAAAATATTATTAA